AAATAGCTCAGCAGATTAAAGTGCCTGCAAGCAGTCTCAGGGGCCAGGAGTTGGATCCCTGGGCCTGCTGTGCTGGCTCTGCCCCCAGGTTATGCTGAGAGGGCAATTGAGACTGTGCATGGTGGCGTACACCTGTAATCTCAACTCTTGGGAGGCTGTAAACAGGCAGATCACTAAGAGTTCAATCTAGTAGTGAGACCCTGAACACCCTGTAGATCCTTCCCTAAAATACAAAAAGAAAGGTATATTTATCAATTTTATGTAGTCTGAATGTTATCTATAGGCTACAAAAATAATCTTTTTATAGTAAATTATCTTTGTCTTTGTGCAGCTTGTCTTAGTAGCTCCTAAATAGTAGAAAGGCACTGTGATCATAAATCCCAACCTTCTGGTTAGAATCATGTAGATAGATTTTTATCAAGTGTTACACTAAAAAATTAACAGACTATTGTATAAATGATGGTATTTATATGATTATTTTTGGTGTATACATTCTCCCAAAATATCAATGTTTACAACAATGAAGGTTTTCTTTGTGTGTTAGAGATGTTAGTAATAATAATTACATTGAAATTTTTATTTTTTGATACATTGAGTAATTTTACCTACAAAATACTAGAAAATTAAAAACATGGGTTGTGTATAAAAGACTTTAGAAGTCAAGTCATAATTTTTGGCAAAAAGTATGATTTTTCCTCCAACAGGAATTATGTACTTGACTAATCCTCTACCTGTCTTTGTGGAGAGCAGTATTTAGAAAGAGGGTGGATGTTTAGAGCCAATACACTGGTCATTGTTATACATAGCATGATATAGACAATATTGAAAATGAGCATCAGGAAATCATTTGATGAACTGAATATTCTGTTTAATATTTTCTCAGACTAGAGAAGAAAAGGAAATTGTTGAATATCAATGTTGGATAACCCATATATATGTATAACATACACAAACCCACATAATTGCACATTATACATTATTATATAACTAATTACAATCTACCAGGGTAAAGGAAGCTCAAGTAAAAAATAAACATTTTACAAGTTTTACAATGATCTGACCTTCATAATCACCAAAATACTTACCTTTAATCCTGATGTTACTTTTGCTGGAAAGCAAGATAAATAATAAGGATCTTTTTTTGTTTAGTACATGTTGTTGACTATGACACTCTATGTACAGATATGAGGAGGATGGGAAGAGACAGCACATCCATATTACTACTTGCAAGTAGAGGAGGATATGGAGAGAAGACACCTAATTAATGTATTGTGCAGCAATTTATTACTGAGAAGAAATAAATAATACATTTCATTTTGCTCTGAGTAGAATAGTTGGTGCACTCATTTCTATGCAGTGTGCCTGCTCAATAGAAAATTCTAAACTCCTAAGTTTGTCTGTTCAGGTCAGTGATGTGGATTTGCTGTGACATTAGCCTGAGAGAAAAAAGCAGCATAGCAAAAAGAATTAAGAACCAAACGAACAAACACTTTCCCACACTTTCCCATATGCATTCATGCCTGAGCGTGAACACACGCACACACACACACACACACACACACATGCACACATGCACACACAAAATCACCTCAATACACATCAGCACACAGCTATCTCAGAACCCGTAACCCATGCACTTGTCCAAAGAAAGCTACAGACCTAAATTATAATTAGTCTAATTACAGCATCTACAATTAAGTTACAAAATTTTTTATTTCACATTTTAAAAGTCCATGAGTAAGAAGGTAATTAAACTTTGGAATACAGTATTATGTAATAATTTGCAGAATTTGTAGTAGTTTCTACTAGGCATGTGCAAGCCATTTCAAACTCATATATCTGGGTTTTTTTTTCTTTTCTTTCCTTTTCTTCCTGAGTTTCTGTATAAAATGTCTTTTCATACATCAGTAGAAATTTTGACTGA